TGTCGCAAAGTGACGTTCGTAACTGTGAGCTCCTAAAGCAAAGCCTGTCCAAAGAGAAAATTCGGACTACGGCACATTCATTTATAGTTTTCTTTGATGCAGTAATTTGGACCCACAATGCATCACTTGTTAAAGCTACGTTCTCGCGAGAATAGCAGCAAAAGTTCAACTAACAGTAACCATGTCCTGATTTAATGGATAAATATTGAAGATAAATAGTAAACAGAAGGTTCTTCATTTACTTTCAGCACTGTTCAGGCTTCTTTTTGGAAAATGTAACTTACATACGATGTGAAGTGACGTCAGAGTCAAGAGGTACTAAATGTCACGTGCAGTTTGACGAGCCCGATCTAAATCATAACAAAATAAATATATGCGTTCTGCATAACGTTCGCACCGTCAACATATTATTGAGAGAAAGAATTATTGTTATACCATGTATACTTTTGTCTTTTTATTTCTAAAATTTTAGGTCAGGACTGTGGATTTCTAGTACAAGAGATTGTACTAGATTGTACTAGAGGTGATCACTGGACCAAGATGCGCTTTTTTGTACATACTGTGAAAATTACACCTTTAATAATTAAGTGTAGTAAAATAGCTAAATTAAGCTATATAGCCACAGAGCTAAATCAAGAGATTGTACTGGATCTGTTCGTTTTCAAAAGTTAAAAGGTTAAAATACTGCAAATACCATAAATCATTGGTTATATAAAGGTTCAAGTTATGATGGGTTTGAAGTAAAGGATACATGTACAATAGATATTTTTGAGGATTTGCGACTTGCCCTAAAATATTCAACTTGAAAAACATAAGTTCTATGCACATTTCGAATTTTCTCAGTTGTAAGATGAAATTCTTGGAAATGCATTAGTTTTTAAGTTATGATGGCAAAAATACTAATAAAATAAGAAAAATAAAGGTTGAAAATGTGAATATGTACGATATGAATGAGAATAGAACAATTTTCATACAAATTTGGAGGTATCTGTTGTCTGAACCGTGTTGTCCTTGGAGGAATCAGCCATGACGATGATATCGACTGCGGTGCTGCATTAGCGCATGCGCATTTTGCACTTTAGATCAGTAACCGGGATTTTTTTCAGTTCGGTTAAATCCCAATAACTGGGACTATAAATACCTCACACCACAGCAACATCAAAGTAAAATCTGATTTGACCGCCAGTCCTTTGGTACAAGGAACACAAACTGACGGCAAAAAATCAAATCTTCACATAATTCAAACAAGTTCATAAATAAGCCTTCTTGCCATATAGGTATTAATTTATTTTTACACTTCTGAATTTTTTAATTATCATAAATTATAAATTATTCGGAACTGCATGGTCAAAATCAGGAACTGAAACGATTCAGGAAACGACTGTATATAACCATAATAAAATTATTTACCCAAGTCCTGAGCCATCTTGTCCCTAGTCCCCAGCCCCGTGGGGATCCGGGTTAGAATAGGTCCTCAGTACTTCCTTGCTTGTCGTAAAAGGCGACTAAATGGGGCGGTCCTTCGGATGAGACCGTATAAACCGAGGCCCCGTGTCACAGCAGGTGTGGCACGATAAAGATCCCTCCCTGCTCAAAGGCCGAAGTGCCGAGCATAGGCCTAAATTTGCAACCCTTCACCGGCAATGGTGACGTCTCCATATCAGTGAAATATTCTGCAGAAGGACGTTAAACAGTACCACAGTCAATCAATCAATCCCTAGTCCCCAAAAGTCATATTAGTTAGGGCCGAAACGTCGGGGTCCCAAAACACCCAGTACACCCAGGCGAATGAGGCACCTTGTAATTTATGGACTGGATGCTTAGAGTGGAGTTATGGAGTGGAGTTTGGAATAGGGTTTGTAGTCTATTTCTTTTTTTTTGTCCCCCCCCCTTAAAAGTGGGGGGTATTAATTTGGGCCTGTTCGTCCGTCTGTCCGTCTTCCTATCTGTCTGTAATGCTTTCGTTTCCACATGATATCTCGAGAATTCTTTGAGCTTTGGCAATGAAATTTTGCATAGCAACTCCCTATGGACTAAAGAAAAACCCTTTTGATTTTGAGGTCAATAGATCAAAGGTAAAGGTAATGAATTTGCAAATTCTGTCTGTTATAACACTTTCGTTTCCGTGCGATATCTCGAGAACCCTTTGAGCTTTTGCAATGACATTTTACATAACTACCTGTGGCATAAGGAAGACCCCTATTGATTTTGAGGTCAAAAGGTCAAAGTTCAAGGTCGTATATTTATACATTCTGTCTGTTTGAAACACTATCCTTTCCGGGCGATATTTCAAGATTTTGAGCTTTTGCAATGTACGTTTATACCAAAACTCCCATAGGACCTCCCTCACCCCTCTAAAAGTGTCCCGACCCGTTTGTTTTAAGAATATTTATTGTATTACATGTCGCTTTTTTTAGCACAGGGGCATGAGGCGAGTAATTTCGTATAAAACAGGTTCTCGGCGGACTTTATATTCTTATTACATCTATTAGAACTGTTTAATAAAGGTTAAATTTGACACATTGTGTAAAATTTTAACAATATCGAACGTGAATATATACATGTATGTGACTTCATCTTTGCATATATTTTTCGCCAGTTTACAGCTGAACCGAGGTCTAGTGGTATGTCTCTCGCTTCACATGTGAGAGGTCCGGGTTCGAATCCCGGATGATCCAACGTACAAAATTCAAATACCGAAAAACAGTTTTTGGATTTTAAACTTTTGAGTTTTTAATCTACCGTTTGTTCAGATAGTTTACGCTTACACTTCTGAGTTTTTAGAAATTTACTTTAAATATCCAAAATATCTAATTTCCAAACCCGATTAGAATTTTGAATATTAGTTCAATATTCTAACTATCTAAAAGCTCTTAACCAAAGAAGTTTCAAAATTCAAACCAGTTTTGGAATTTGATATTTCGGATATTTGAGGTAAAAGACTAAAAACCTAATTAAATTTTTGATAAAAATTTGAAATTTGAGTGTTTGAGTCGAAGATCTGAATTTCTAAAAAATTGAAACGTTTCAAAGTTGAAATTTAGAAGCATGTAACTAGCAAATTATGTAACTGAAGTTTGGATTGTTAAGCGTTAATTTCCTGAACAAACGGTACATTAAAAACTCAAAAGCTTAAAATCCAAATATTGTTTTTGGAAATTTGAATTTTTAACATTTAAGGTCAAAATTTAGAACATTAAACTTTTAAAACCTGACTGTTTTTTTTTTAATTTTACATGGTAGATAATGAATAGGTGAGTATATCATTTAAAAAAAACTACCTACTTATTAATTTCCATAAATTCTTAACCTTATAGCTCTTGACAGGTTTGTTGACACATCCAATTACACTGTATTTAAACAACCTGGCTATATTTAAGGAATCCCTGTCTAGTTAGGGACTATGCCAGTGCATTAACAATAGTGGGAAACATGGGATAATTTGCATAACGGGCTTCGCCCGTTATGCTTAAATTATCCCATGTTTCCAACCATTGTTGATGTCCCTGGCATAGTCTCCCAACTAGACAGTGATTCCTTATATTTCCATTTTTACTTGAAATAACAATCTTAAAATAAATCGAAAACCCGTCTATTTTGTAGATTTGAAATGCAGGAGGCCCCATGACGTCAAATCTTACTATAAAAAAAAACTCCCATTAAGAACACGAAACAAATTCATTGATTATTTAGTTACTGTAGTCAAATATCAACATTTACAAAACAAACAACAAAAGAATTTTAAACTATGATCAAAGCAATCTTGCATTGTTAACTTTAATTATATATGTGACCTAGATTTAAGTTGTCGGAAGCATGAACACGTGTAGGAGTATGTCACTTCTCCGCCGCCATATTGCATGCAATGTTGCAGTTGATAAAACGGGAATTGGTCAGCATGGTCAGGAAACAGGTTTGTGTGGATGTAAAAATATCAGAGAAAGCTGAGTTGCTTAAGAAGTCAGATGGTAATGACTGAGGGACGATGCCTGTATTAGATGATGGAGTGCAGATCTATGTGGCAATCCCGACTCCTCCACGTGGTTCAGATGTGCTGTTTACCATGTTTACGGAAGTGGAATTCTCGGTCTAGCGATTTGTTGATAGTGGACAGTTGCGCTAGTGACTTTCTTTTGATCCGGAAAAATTTCATTATTTATTTTGTTTTTTAAAAGATATATCATATCTAATTACTTAGTAAACAATTAAACAAAACATTTTTCTCTAGTGTATTTATACGCCAGTGATATACATGAATGTTAACATTTTGACCTTTCAGTAGTATTAGAAATATACATACTACAGGTATTACCTTGAAATTAACACGATTCACTTTTGTAGTGTTTATCATAGAGGAAACAATTGGAAATGGAAACATTTATAGATTAATATGGTGTTCAACAGTTTCCAAACATTTTGAAAGAGCAGGGGTCATTTTGTCAGTATCATGTCTGTCTATTTACTTCTACTGTAAATTTCTCAATTTCCAAATATATATATATGTACATCACTGCATGTCATAGACTTACAAATTTTAATTAGGTCGTAGGATGATTGCCAATCTTTTTAATTACAAGGCATGAAATGGTCAACAAGTATGCAGAATAAAAACCTTCTATACTATTGAAAATTATTTTAAAAAAAAAAGGTTGCCCAAAGTCGAAAATCCTATTTCGGGGGGGGGGGGGGGGGGGGTAAACTTTTTCTCAGTTTCAACTACTTTTAGTACCAATTCTAATAATACAGATTACTTCAGTTTCGGTACATCACTTAAAGTGGGGGGCCATTCAGGCTTTCTATTAACATTTCCTATAGTAGGTAAAAAAGTGGGGGGGGGGGGGCGGGGCGGCCCCCCCCCCCCCCGTGGCTACGCCCCTGGTTCTTCCTTTCATGTTAAAAAAATTTATATAGACTCCAAAATTTGACACAAATCCCGCTTAATAACTCCACTCCAAGCCTCCAGTCCATGAATTACACGGTGCCGCAGAATGAGAAGGGCACAGAAACCGAAAGTTGCACAAAAAAAGTAAATTGTAGTTTCCATCAAATTAGGTATGTTTATCGATTTTATTATTCTTATTTTATAAATACTATTACCATTCATGCTTTTAAATAGGCCTGTGTATTATATTAAAACACTGTAACGTTAGATCTATAGATGTGACTCATGACATTAGCCTGTCTTTTTTGTGTTTCAGATGAAATGGCATCTTTTCTGGTGCTATTTTATCTCTGCTTGAGCTTGGTCGATGCAGCTCAAAATTTTCAGGAAGTATCTGATTGTCCACGGAATGCAGACACATGGAAAATAGAATCGGACAAGAAAAATTGTCAGGAGTACACGCCCGACTATCTGTGTGCAGCGATAGAAAACAATGTTGGGAAATTCGGGGAAATATGCACGAAATATGGACTCTCCCCTGGAAGTAAGTAGGCCACTGTGTTATAAGTCAGGAGGAGGCAGAGATTTAACTGAATAAGGCCTATTTGTTTTTAATATAATATTGATTTGTCCATGATTTTAATAAATAAATGGTTATATCCTGTTATCTGCAACGCGTTGTATATGGGTTTTGGGGCACTTCAACTGTATTTGAAAAGATGAATGGTGGTCCAACATTATCAAAAAAAAGGCAAATTATCGATCTTTACGCTTTTACGGAATGAGCCGCATGATTTTTAACTATTTTAATAACAAACAAACTCACTCACAAAAAACAAGGAAAAAGAAATGTAGTTAGCTAATAAAAAGTACCAGGAAGTCGCATATTATCGTATTTTGCGCTTTTACGGAATAAGCCGCATGATATTATAACTCCTAAAACAAACGCACACAAAAGAAATCAAAACCCTTAAATGCAATTATACTTAGGAAAGAAAAAGTACCACGAAAACGCAAATTATCGTTCTTTACGCTTTTACGGGACAAGCCGCATGATTTTAAACCATCCTAAACACACAACACGAATTCAATAAAACAAAACCCTAAAATGTAGTTTGCAAAGAAAAAGTACCAGGAAAGCATAAAATTAACAATTAACCACAAAATTAACCAGAAAAACAAACACACTCACACAAAAACGAAAGTTAGCAGAGAAAATCGTGAAACACATGGTATTAATGTTGATAAACTCCTAGAGGAATTACTCCCAACTGTATAAAATTAAGTATTTTGTTAATATTCATGATCAGACCTGGGGTAATGGTAATGAGTAATGGTAATGCATTGTAATCATTACATTTTTGAAAGTAATGGGGTGTAATGTGTAATGGATCCATCTTTCAATTGCATGTAATTGTAATGTAATGCATTACTTTAAAAAAAATTCAGTAATGGCCAATTACTTTTCAATTACCTTTCATTTACATTTTGTATATTAGTCTCTTTTTATTTTTGAATCTGAAACAAATAAATATCACTGAGAGGTTATTTTTTAATACTAATGTTAAGAGTCTTAAAATTAAAATCTTATATCCTACAATTTTTTTTATATATATTATTAAATGGTGATTGATAGACAAACTGAATAATTCTTATAATAGAAAACTTCTTGACAAGATAATTGTAAAACCAATTGAAGAGAACCAGAGAAAAATATTCGCTTTTTCCCCTTTTCATTCTGGTGAAATAGACTTGGTAAACATGATACAACATCAGTGTGATTTATTGTAGACACAAAGGGAAACCATAAGGCAAAATATAATTATAGACTGATATATTGATCATTCATTTTTGGTAGCTTAAGGCCTCAAAATTCAAATCCTATATTTAGGTACTTGTAATTATCACCTTTGGTTGTGTTTAATTTATAGCTTCATTGATTATACCTGTTTAACTAATTAAAAGTGCTAATTAATTCATTAACTTTTTAATCCTGTTTTACTTTTATAGTATTTTCTGTTAATTAAATATTAGTTTACAGAAAAAATATAGTACGAAATGTTTAATGAATCATTTATCCAAAAAAAAAAAAAAAACAACAGAGAAACTAACATCAGATATTGAACAAAACTACAACATTGAAAATGTTCTGATCCACTTTCTTTGTCAACTGAAGATTCGATTGGTAAACCATGGTAAACTACATGTACATGATACATGAATCCAAAATCCAAATTCCGCTCTGATTTACAGATCTGAAGGAAAGCATATTAATCAAACAAAAAATGTGAAAGTTAATTTTAGGTATAAATTGTGTGGTCATACGTTTTGTGTTTTTCTCTTATAAAATGTAATGTGTAATGTAATTCATTACTTTAACAAAGTAATTGTAATTTAATTAATTACTTTTCTGAATGGGAGTAATGGTAATTGTAATTGTAATGATAAAAATTCCAAAGTAATTGTTACTTAATGCATTACATTTCAAAGTAATTAACCCCAGGTCTGTTCATGATGAAACACACACACACACACATATATATATATATATATATATATATATATATATATATATATATACATTACATATACATATATATATATATATATATATATATATATATATATATATATATATATATATATATATATATATATATATATATAATTTTATATATATATATATATTTTCTGGTATTAATTCAAATGTAGGCCTATTTAGAATTTTATTTGAGGTTTTTTTATATCTACACATGTTTATATAGAAGCTTAGACAAAGTGTTTTTCTAAATAATGCGGATGAATAAATGCAATTTTTTTATACTAGTATAGTAAAATTAAAGTTAGGTGTTAGGCACGGGCATTTAATTAAAATTCTGGAAAGAAAATTGTTTTCCTGTATGAGATCCGCTCCAGCATTCTCAACATTTGTAAACATCAATCTAGATCTATGTAAACATGGCATCATTGCATCTTATAATTTTTTGTTGTAAAGTGCTTTAATGCTAAAACAAATTTGAAATGAACATATTTCTTACAACTTTTATAAGTTTCCCGAATCTTGCAAAATAATCAGCAAATAACAGTCAGAACTGTAAATAAAAACAGGAGAGATAACTGACAATCGAAATACTTTTTAAAGGGGTACCAGAGAGGGGCATTCTTTACATTAACTGACATCTTCATAGAAATTTGCTCCCGAATTATATATTTAAAAGACTTTTTAAAAATCTTATTTATCAGCAGTTGTAAGTATTTGAAAAACATATTTTTTACAAGATTAATTGTAGAATAAGAATTAGATGCAACATTGAACCGAATTTTTTAATTCAAAAAATCTGTTACGTGAGTTCTACTCCTTTTGATATGAAAACATTTAAATGACTTTAATTTTAAAATTATTTTTTCGATAAAAAAAAATGTTTAACTCTTTGTTGTTTTTCTTCAAATTAATATTATAGTGATAACAAGCAAAAACTACCTTTTGAAATAAAACTGTTCAAAATTAAAAAGATAGATCAAGTTTACATTCGTGTCTTAATTTGATGAGAGAGAGAGAGAGAGAGAGAGAGAGAGAGAGAGAGAGAGAGAGAGAGAGAGAGAGCTTACATTTAATCCAGTTTATGTATGTAGAAATGAAACTTCAATAATAAGAATCGAATTATTTAAGCAACAGAATATATAATGTATCTCTACTGTTTTAGGTGTACCTGTACCTATTTATTTTCGGGAATATTAAATAAAAGTTTAAAAGTATTAGTTATAGCTTTAAACATCTGCAGATTTAAGTCGTATACATAGCATACGTGTAAGTCAAAACATATACAATCCGTGTCTTATATAGTATCAAAGCAATGAACGCGGTACAGTTCTATTTCCACAGGAGTCTGAAGGTTTATCGTCCAAAAAAAAAAAAAATCCGGAAAAAATTCCATCCTCAACTAAATATTTTTTTACAATAAAAACCAGACTTCTGTGCTATTATCAATCTATTACTCGTTTTATTATTGAAATTATAATAATATCAGATATTGGTTAGATATAATATAATTGCCCAACCTGCCGTTGAATAATGTAAGCGAAATGATTTTATTTTATGATTTATTGGTAAAATAATTCCCGTGATAAACATTAAATTAGAGGACTAAAACAATGATATTTAAGAAAAAACGTGAGAAGAAGAGGATTCTAAACACTTCATCGCTAACAAATATTTTTCATGCATGCCACCTCGATCGCTAAATTCTGTTATTTTGCAGTCGAAATATTGCGAAACTAGATCGCATTTAACTGATTGAATGAATATCAAATTTCCGCTTTAACTTTTCCCCCTTACGGAAAATTTCTGTATTAATTAATTTACTTAGTATATGATTCAAAACAACAAGGCGTTTACATGCATAATTATTATACCCCGCTTGAAAAAAATACACACCGCTTATCCCCAACTCCTCTTATACCACTGAATAAATTTTCATGAAAATCCACAGATTTTTTTACGTAGTTAAGATTGTACATCTCTGGTCCTATTTTATCGGTTACCGGATTTCCCTTGAACAAAACACGGACAACGCCATTTTTTTATAATATTGAACTAACCCGCAACTCCTCCTATACCATAGAATAAAATTAAATGAAGTACTTTCATTTATTATTTATTATAAATAAACCATTTTCAAATATATTTTTTGGTTTAACACTTATTTCATGGTTTGCCATAATGCATGGTATGGGGGAGGGGGAATTTAGTGAGCTCAGTGTTCACAGTACTTCTATTGATATTTACTATTTATATTTAATGTCTTTGTCCAATAAAATTACAAAGAGTTGAAATACTTTATTTCTACATAAATCTATTGTTTCACCTATATATGCGCGGCGGGACAAATTGCAGAAGCGGGACTTACAGTAGCACATGGATTTGCGGAATCAAGATCATGTACATGACTGTATACATGTATAAGGAAAAAATAATATTTTTTATTGAACAATCAACTGCCTAGTGTGAAAATTTTATGCGGTGTAATTCTGCAAAATAACACGCAAAATTGATCAAATATAAAACCAAAATTTAGACAGTTATTCATGATTTAATCAAAAATTCTATTCCATATCAAAATTTAAAAAAAGACAAAATTAATATATTTCATTTGAAATTTGGATTAATGTTATAAAAAAAATGAAAATAAACCCTAGAAGGTACATGTAGAATGGCTTTAATAAATCAGTAATAAATTACCCGCTATTTGTATATACTTGGTATATATGTTCTTCTAAAACTCTTTGATTTTTACAAAAAAAAACCTCACTTTAATTGTTGTACAGAGTATACAGTAATTAATTGTATTTCACAATTTTTTTCTGTCTTTATATTTAGAAAGAAAAAAAAAGAATTCACAAATTTTCACAACCCAGTTGTATCTTGTTCATTGTTGTTGCCGACGACTTTTTTTGAAATATTTGGGAGCAATTTCTTTCACATTTGGAAAGATTTATCGTTATTCTGTATTAAAACAAGAAAGTTGACAGCTTGGCCTACGTGCA